TCATTTCCATTGTTGGTCCTGGTGACTTTTCCCAATAAATCCATGCCCAGCTGTTCCAGAGGCTTGTCCACCTTACAATTAAAATAGCAACATTAATACATTTACATTTTGTGACCTCATGACTTCCCTATCTCAAAACCCATGCACATCTGTGGACAACAAGCTTACATACACATATTGGGATGTACTTGGGCTCCTACTTGATGGACCGTCTGCTAAACTGGCACTGGGCACACTGCAAATCCTGATGTTCAGAAATAAGCACATGAGAAATGCATACCATAACATAATCAGTTTATATGTCTCACAGAAATGTTGAAAAGGAAACAATTTTGTAGCCTATTTACCCATTTATCAATGTCCACCCCCATTCCAGGCCAGTAGAATCTAGCTGAAATGGCAAGCTTGTTTTTTCCGGTTCCACAATGTTCTAACTCTAAAATAAAAATTGGCTAGCCTCTTTTTGTCCAGCAACCACTTTTCTTCTAAACTTTACATTGTTTTTTGAGGAGATGTGATAAAGTTTGCATCTATTGAAATAGCTTTATTGTTCAAATCTAAACAAATAACCTGCAATGAGGTTCTAAAGGCCCAGTTGAAGGAATAGGCCTATTTAAACTGAAATGGGAAAACAGGTTATTGTCAATGTGCTAGTTGCTTCAAGTCAGGTAAGTATAGTTTCTTGACAAGCATTGACTTTTTGTTAGTATCTAGTCTTGGTGTATCACTATACCTCACTTTACTATGAGAAAACTTGTCAGTGTAAAGGAGTTATCAAGTAGTTTGCTTACCATCAACTTGGAAACTGGAGGAACAGCTGCAAATGAAATATTTCTGCTCCTTTTTATGACAAATGGATAAACACCTCGAGTTTTGTAATTTAGAATTTCCTCATATAGGTTTGGATCCATTGCTTTCATATGCCAACAAGAACAGTCATCCAGATGACAACATTTTGTGGTCATTTCCCTTATTTATAACTGAGCTATTTTGAATGATTGATCAATTGATTTATCTGGTGCACTCTGAGATTGTATGCCAACATTATGTTCCACACTTGCATCTTGTATGCAAGGCTTTCTTGTGAAAAAAAAGGTTTGGATAAGTGTTCTGATTAAATATATTCCACTGTATCAGTGAGAAGGTAAACAGATTAATCAAATATAATATTAATTAAAATGTATTGTTGATATGGAAACAGTAAAAGCCTATGCCCTGAGTTTGGACATCAGCACGGACAGATTACACTAATTTGCATAGGCAAAATTAAACTTCAAAAACTCGGACATAAACAAAGGAACAATTGCAAGAAGAATAAAAAAATCACAGAACATTTTACTATGCTGCAGTGTAGCAACACATTTGTCTCTTTTTGCTTTCCGTACATCCAGTTGTGTTTGGTGTATTTGCATGCTGCAGTGTTGCCAAATCCACAGTATTTATTCCGCGGAATTGGGCTACTTTGGGGCAATGTTTGATTAACTATTTAGTCGGGTTTATTACGCAGACCTGGCAACCCGAGGGGAACACAAATTCCAGAGGGGAACAGAATCGACTGCTACACCTGCCGTCAGTCAGAAAAAAAGGCTCCAACTCCCAACATGAAAAACGACACGATGAATAATGTTAGTTAGCTGTTGACAAGTGAAAACATCTTAAAATATCTCACTTTTACATAAAACATAAATAATATACTAACCTTTTTGCCGCGTTAACGGCTCGGACATAAACAAAGGAACAATTGCAAGAAGAATAAAAAAATCACAGAACATTTTACTATGCTGCAGTGTAGCAACACATTTGTCTATTTTTGCTTTCCGTACATCCTCTTGTGTTTGGTGTATTTGCATGCTGCAGTGTTGCCAAATCCACAGTATTTATTCCGCGGAATTGGGCTACTTTGGGGCAATGTTTGATTAACTATTTAGTCGGGTTTATTACGCAGACCTGGCAACCCGAGGGGAACACAAATTCCAGAGGGGAACAGAATCGACTGCTACACCTGCCGTCAGTCAGAAAAAAAGGCTCCAACTCCCAACATGAAAAACGACACGATGAATATAGTTTGCTGTTAACAAGTGAAAACATCTTAAAATATCGCAGTTTTACATAAAACAGAAATTATATACTAACCTTTCCTCGAGTTAACGATGCATTTCTCTTTTGTCCTTTTACAGCCACGCCCACCAAACAGTCAAAAAAGAACTCCCTTGCCATTGGTCAGTTTTTCGCGGGCAAGTTCACTATTGTAAATTGATTTACAGTAGTGAGGAAATACAGTAGTGACCGTATATTTTCCCTTAATCCTTTGCGGTTTACAGTAAAATACATTTTATAGTATCTTACTGTACATATTACAGTATAATACTGTTCAAATTACAAAAATCAGTTACAGTGCTGTCATGGGATTTGAATTTGGCCATACTGTGCGTTTACGGAGAAGACCAAAAGCTGCAAAGGCAAACATTTCCAATGGTATATCTGTGTTGGTCTGAGCACCTTGACTGAACTGTACTGCAGATACATTTCCCAGATACTTTTCCTGTTCTAACAGTACATGATATCTTTCCACAACCAGGGGCGGTTCTTGGGGGGGGGGGACACGCTGTTTCGTCACTGCTTAAAAATTGATTGTTTGTAATGTTATTTGTTGTGGAAATCATTAACATTTTCTGTGATGGTTTTAATTTTTAATTTTTTTTCTTCTTCAGTAGAGACATAAGCCTATATCTGTTTGTGGCTGCTGTGTGTCATATGACATATTTTAGTTGACATTGTTATAGATTACATCTAGATTGCAGCGATACATGAAATGGTGAAAAATTACTGAATGAATAATAGGCTACTTAAAATAGTTTAAGATGAATTTTAAAATTGTGACGCCTAAAAGCACAAGTGGCCCCTGTCTGGCCCCCCCAGTTACTGTGGTCTAGAACTGCCCCTGTCCACAACTCATAGTCTGCCTTTCTTTCCGTGTTGATTTTTATTGAACGCATCTGTCTAAGAAGCAAGTCTGGAAATGCTAGTTTAACTTGTCACGTGACAAATCAGATCTTCAATTAATTTGGCCAAATCAGATCACTTAAAGTTGTTCACACCAAGAACAAGAAATATAAATGGTAAAATATTTTAGCATCAACACCAACATACGATAATGGTCTGTTTAATGTTATACACGCTGCAGTTACAGTATGTTGTTGTCGGCTATTTGTTGTTGTCAATGTTTTTATTGTTCATCAGCTGGAAAAATTTGTTCTGAAAGAGATTCCAACGATATTGTTCCTCTGTGTCATTAAATGTTAAATAGCTGCGGTGTGGACTCATCCTTTGTGTGAAGATGCCTTTAAATTGCTTACAACAATACTGTCAGCATGTAATCATATTTAAAATAATTAACCATTTAAGCCCTGAGGGCATTTTTGCCTCACTGAAGTTTATGTTTTTTCTGAGTGACTGTTGGAGAGACTTTGGGACTGTTAGGTTCTGATCAGGTAATGGATGAGTAAACCCCCCTGGGTGCCGGTCAGAGCACCAATAATGAAGAGACAGGTGATTAGCTTTCGATGGTGTATTAGTAGAGAAAAGGAAGGGCCACAGAGGTACAATCAAAGGTGTAGATAGTCTGCAAAATAAGTACAATAAAGAAATGAATAAGCTAAAGATATAGATAAACAATAGTAATATTTACGGTTACATAATGAAACCAAAGCATTCATAATTCACATAATTGGCATTTCTCTACTGAGCATACAGTTAAATGAAGGGAAACAAGGTATTTCACAGAAAACTACAAGTCATGAGTGATCATTTGTCCCTATGTGTCCCTAAAGTTCCTATATATGGATAGAATCATGGCGCATCGGAGTAACATTTGCATAAACAGAACGCTAATCACTCTTTTGGTATTGTAGCAGCTTAACAGAACAACATCACGTTGTTAAGACATCATAACACTGATTTACATCTTGAGAAAGAATGAATAATTACCCGTTAAGTAATATTCCCGATCTGAATACTACAGAACTATCGTTACAGGACATGTCTGGGCATGTTCATATGGTACAAACGCATATAACACTGTAGCGATCACTGTAAACACAAATATAAATAACATAGGCTTACTTTGTGGTCAGTGACTACCACCTTGATATTAAATCTGCAAAAATCCCCACGAACAAAGTGAAAGTATCATCCTTGCAGCTGACGGCTCGAACAGATCACTCAAACACAGCAAACAGCGGCAGCTCATCAAACTACACTGCCCTCTACCGAAGCACTATTACGACTCCAGTTTCATAATAAAGGTCCCTCTTACAGGAGCCTTTAATACAGCCGCCCCCAAAAATGCAGAGCATCTTTGCTTCCATGAAAGGCTTAACTAGTCAGTGTTGGGGCCTTAAGTCCATCCTTTGGTAAGGCCGGCAGGGAACAAAGTGAAAGTATCATCCTTGCAGCTGACGGCTCGAACAGATCACTCAAACACAGCAAACAGCAGCAGCTCATCAAACTACACTGCCCTCTACCGAAGTACTATGATGACTCCAGTTTCATAATAAAGGTCCCTCTTCCAGGAGCCTTTAATACAGCCGCCCCCAAAGATGCAGAGCATCTTTGCTTCCATGCAGGGCGACTTAACTAGTCAGTGTTGGGCCCTTAAGTCCCTCCTTTGGTAAGGCCGGGAGGATGACCAGGCGAGCCACCGGTCGGGTATAAACTTGACCCTTTATCAACACATCAGCTGACCTGATATGACCATCTGAGCTTTGGTGGGTCTTGATCACTTGTCCTACAAGCCATAAGCTTCGAGGTAGTTGGGGGTCTACAATCATAACAATGGTCTGCTCCTTCAGGTTGGGAGGAGAGGCTTGCCATTTCTGCCGGGTTTGGAGGCTAGGGAGGTAGTCCCGTATGAACCTGGACCAGAATCGGTCCGCTAGGACCTGGGAATGTCTCCAGTGCCGGCGACTTAACATCTCGGATTCGGGATAAATGACTTGAGGCAGAGATCCATCGGGCCGCCCTAGGAGACTATTTGGAGTCACTGGGTCAGCATCTGCCACGTCTGATGACACGTACCCTAAGGGTTTTGAGTTCAGGATTGCCTCCACTTCCAGCAAGACCGTCATTAAGACCTCCTCTGGTACTGACTGTGCACTCAAAACTGTGTATAAGGCAGATTTAACCGATCTCACTTTCCTTTCCCAAACTCCACCAAAATGGGGGGGCCGATGGAGGATTAAAGCGGAAGTGGATCCTCTAGCGGGCAAGATGACCCTGTATGTCAGGAACCAAAGCAGCATAAGCTTCCCGTAACTCCCTTTCACCCCCGCAGAAGTTAGTACCTCTATCTGACCATATTTCTGCTGGCGTTCCTCTCCTCGCAACAAACCTTCTTAAAGCCACAAGGAATGAGTCGGTACTCATGCTAGGGAGTAGGTCTAAATGGACGGCTCGGGTGGTCAGACATTTAAAGAGAATACCCCAGCGCTTCTCTGTATGTCGTCCAATTTTGACTAACAGTGGGCCAAAGCAGTCCATTCCACAAGAATAGAAGGCAGGTTTGTAGAGCTGAAGGCACGCAGCAGGTAGATCCGACATTTTAGGGATTGATGGTTGGGCCCTCCAACGTTGACATTCTGGGCATTCTGGGCTTCGCGGCCTCGGAGAATCCAATAGTATCTCCGTATTTCCCCAAACAACCGTTCCGATCCAGGATGATGTAACTGGTCATCATAATGGTGAATAATCAAACCAGTGATGGGGTGGTTAGGATCCAGAACCAGAGGATGCACAATGGAGTCTTCAATGCCTGCAGTTCTCCGCAAACGACCTCCCACCCTTATCAGACCACTGGATGGATCCATTTCCGGGGCTAGAGTAACTAATCGACTCCCCGACCTAACTGGCTTCCCAGTCTCTAACAGTTTATAATCCTCAGGGAAGGATTCCTGCTGCACCCATTTAAGGATATGGACCTCAGCCTGGCGGTAATCCTCAGCCTCTGGAGAAGTCCCTGGAACCAAGTTGACTCGAAGTTCTTGGGCAGTAACATCCAATAGTTCTTGCCAGGTGTTGTAATTCCATCAATTAATCTTACCAGATGAGGGAGGAAAAGTACTGATCCCACAGAAGGTAGATTTCCGTAGTTCAACCTGGTCTTCCCTGGTTTCAGTCTTAGGGATTACTGGCCATTCTTTGGGATCTTGAAGGAGGAAAGCGGGTCCTTGGGACCATCGGTTCGGCGCAGCAAGGTATTGGAGAGGTCTTCCCTTTGTGAGGTCATCAGCAGGGTTGTCCGCAGAACTTACATGATGCCAGGAACACTTCTCCGTCAGCTCCTGGATCTCAGCGATTCTGTTCCCCACAAAGACTCGGTAACGACATGACTCAGAATTCAAACACTGGAGGACCGTAGTAGAGTCTGTCCACAGGGAAATAGACTTG